TTCTGAGTATTTTTACTTGCCCAACTGAGCACCCTTAAGTAGTGCTGAACAGTCGGTGGTTCCTCGTTTGGAGTGCCTACTGCACTCTTAGGGGGGGTGCTCAGTTCGGGATGTTTGTGTTGCCTGTGGGTGATGACGGATTCTCGTTGGAGTGACTCCCTGGCTCGATGGGTGGTGGGAACCAACAGTCTGCGGTGTTCAATCGTGACGTGAGTAGGTGATGTGCCATTTTGCTCCGTGTTGGATGTGTGGACTGCCTTGTCTGCGCTCTGTCGCTGCCTTGCTGCCTCTCCCGCTGGCTTTGCATGTGATTCTCTGCAAATTGCTGTGTTCACTGTGTGGTGTGGCTGTGTTGCTGTTGCCTTGCGGTTCGCTGCTCCACTGCTTGGGTGCTCATCCGCTGGTCGTGCCTTTCATGTTTTTAGCTTGCGCGCCTTGTAGTTCGGTTGCCTTGCTTGTGTTGCCTTGTGCTCCACTGCATGGTTGACGTGCTGCTCGACCGCTAGCCTTGTCGTTCCCTGCTTTGTGGTTGCCCTGTTGGTGTTGCCTTGTGCTTCGCTGCGTGTTGGCCACACTGCTTGTCCTGCGTGCCGTGTCGTTCCTCGCAGTCGTTTTTGGCGTTGTGCAGTCGTGTTGTCTCTACTGCGTTGCCTGGTGTTCCGCAGGGTTGTTGCCTGCTGCTGTGTTCCGTTTGGGGGACAGTCTGCCTTCAACATGTGTCAAAACGTTCATGGCCCAAACCATCCAATACGAAGACTCCGCAGATTGTCGAGGGTTCAGCCTCCTGATGAGTAGGTGCAACTCCGACGAAACAGTCTGTCATCATCAGTTTTTATTGTGTTATTTTTTTCGCTCTCTTTTTTTTCAACTTGGCACTCTATGCCTCTTCCCTTGTTGCCTTGTGCTGCTTGTCTGCCCACCTGCCTCCCCCATGTCATCCACCCTTAGTGCAATTGGTCGTTGTCCAATGCCGTGTTGCTTGTTGTTATTCGCTTTGTGTCTTGCCTTTGTGGCCTTCGTATGACATTTCATGGGTATCTGCGACGGACGCAGGAGAACACCTGGTGCTGGTTACTATGCCAACGATGATGATGGCTTTGCCATCAATGCTACCCCTTCTGCCCCCTTCTCTTCCCTTCTTCGCTATCCATCTCACATGTTCTTTCTTCGAGAGACCGACTATATTCCTTTGGTCTTGTCTGTAGGGATTGTTGGTTTGTGGCATTAGTCAATCCTACGGATGGGTAGTGCAGTGCAAACAGCATGTGAATGGATCTATGTGGAGGTTCTTGTGTTTTCGGGTTGCTATGGTTGCTGATGCATTTCTTACACACACACACACACACACACACACACACACACACACACACACACACACACACATGCCATGTGCGGTCAATGCTTCCAGGAAGCTGTCATAGAAAGTATGTGTCTTTACTGCATGGACTATCCCTGGTGCCATCACCCTCCACATCCTCTCCTAGCATGTCCCACATGCGGTGTTGGTCATACACCTACGGCAACCGCTGGCGGATCTCCCTCTTTCTTGCCAGACGAATGACGAGCACAGCAGTCCGAGGAGGAAAATAGACTTCTATATGAACCACCGGCAGACTGATGTGCTCATAGTTTATCACCACCAGGGCGAGCTGTTGCGGATCATATCCTGCAGCAGCTGAACACCCTTGCATTGGACCGACCCTCCCTGTCGTCATCTGCCCATAGAGATGGAATACATACTGAGGAAGCCCAAGAAAGATGCTCCATGCCGTTTTGTGATGACCCACCGGAGATTCAACTAGCATGTGGTTCGCATGCCTTGTGCCGTGAGGATTATGAAGGGATAGTCCATGTGAGTTTTTGTTTCCATATGTATGATGACAGTCAGTACTGTACTCATGTACGGCACCCCGACATGTCATGTCCAATTTGTAGACAGGGGCTAGAACGGCAATGCCTCTATAATTGTGGTCGACGTGCCCCTGTGGTCGACGTGCCCCTGTGTTCCTAGCATGTACGAGCCACGTAGCCTGTGACATCTGTCTGCGCCGTGCCATTCGATGCAGCAACTGTGACTGCGAAAATTGGATGCGGTGCTTCCATAGCCCACACCCGAACCGGTCCTGTCCGGTCTGTAGGGATGGCCACTTGCCATAGTTGTGTGTGTTTTGTTTTGTTTTTTTTTTTTTGTTTTTTTTTT